CATTGTTTGTTTTGTTACTACACGTAATTGTGTTTTTAAGTCAATAAATCTTTCTTACCTTTCTACCCCCGACCATACTTTCAATCCCGAACCCTCCACAGGTGGCTGGGACAGCACCTTGTATCAACCTTGTAAAGTGCTTGAGTAACTTCCAGGACAAATGCAGTAGCCTCTCTCACAGGTTAGAAAATGGAAACAATTTACCAAGAACTAGTGCCAAAAGAGCCCATAACTCCCAGTCTCTTACCTTAACTACCAGATTTAGCTGCCTCTCTAAAATGCTTTGAAGATTAAAAATAAAAAGGTACAATAGTGATGAGGTTATTTTTCCACCTCCCTTTAAAAAAGCAACCTAATAAACAGCCATTTCAGTCATTACCATCCTGGGGTGGATTTCAAGTAGTGTTCTAAGAGATGAAAGGCTCTATATCCTATTACTAATCTCCTAAGCAACACAGTTTCCCTTCATGTCTTTGAGCAACCCCTTTCCTGTTTTGGACTCTAAATTTGATTAATTTAAAAAAAAATAAATAAAAACCTCAATAAAAACAAGCACACAAACAAACAAAAATTAAACCCTTCAGTTAACGTTATGATATAGCCAGGGGTAGATTCAAGCTAAACATGGTTCAATTTCTTCCAGTACATAGGGGCCCAAACCATTCTAAGAAAAAGAAAACCAGTGCTTCTAGAAAAATAATTGAGACCCCTTAAAGCATAGAATTAGTATTTCATACTTTAATCTGACATGGCACAATCGTACCTTTTTGCTTCATCAAGTTTCTAAAAGCCAGGTACAAAAACTACCAGTAGTATGCACAGTACGTCAAACATTGTCCAGGCACAGACCTCACCCAAGACAGCTTAGACAGAAAACAAGCTTACAAAGATGACTGGAAGTGAATTTAGCACAGCATCAGAACTAGTGATGATTTCAACTATTTTCCTGAGAAGTGCAGACCAATCCATATGAATGGCAGCAGTACTACAACTGTAAGGTGCCCTTCCCATAATCTAGAGAATAAAGATGTACTGCAGATCCACTTCAGCATAACACAAAAATGTTTTTAAATAAAGATTTGTAGCACACAAAGCAGCTTTCATCCCCATGGATACAAAGGAGTTTTGTTGGCTCAAGAACAACTATAAGAAACAGAATGCTTACTAGTCTGCACACACTATAGATGTGCCATGCATGGCCAGGAAAGTGCTGATAAAGCATTCACAGCTTAGAGGTTTTACAAGCCAGGGAAAAAGGCACTAGACAAATTTAATTTTCATGTCTCTTCAAGAAAACATTCACCAATGTGCAATGGCAGGGGAGCTGCATAAAGTCATCTGGAAACAGAGTGGTATTATCAGCAGGTGGAGTGTATATGATGCAGAGAATTATTAAAAACTGAGTAATACATGAAAGTATTTGTAGAAATCCCACACACTCTATGTGGGAATACCAGCACCCTTTTTTATGGGCCTAGGGCCACATTATTCCCCAGTGTACATCCACTGAAGTCAGTGATGCTGCACCAGAGATGAATTTACCCCCAGAAGTTATATGTGATACAAAAGCAGCTAGAGAGGAATTTCTGATTGAAATATTTAGCACTATGTAATAGAAGGATTCTGGACAACCTAAATATATCATCACAACTCAGCAAAAGTAATGAATATACCCACAGCATGCGTTCCTAGATTGTAGAGTCGGAAGGGACCACAATGGATCATTGTGTCTGACCCCCTGCCCCTGGCAGGAAAGAGGACTGAGGTCAGATGACCCCAGCCAGGTGACTATCTAGCCTCGTCTTGAAGACCTCCAAGCTAGGTGATAGCACCACCTCTCTTGGAAGCCCATCCAGATCCTGGCCACCCTTACTGTGAAAAAATTCTTCCTAATATCTAACCTAAATCCACTAGTGTCAACTAGTTTACACCTGTTATTCCTAGTCACTCCCTGGGGCTCCTTAGTAAACAGCGCTTCCCCTATTCCCCGTTGACTTCCCCTAATAAATTTATAGGCAGCCACAAGATCTCCCCTCAGCCGTTAGAGGGGGAGCATCACCTCCTTTGTTCTATTAGTCATGCACCTGCTAATGCACAACAAGGTGCGATTGGCTTTATTGATGGCCTCATTACGCTGCTGGCTCATGTTCATCTTGGAGTCGATTATGACTCCAAGATCCCTCTCTGCCTCCGAGCTGCTGAGAAGGACATTCCCTAACCTATAGGTGTGCTGAGGGTTCTTCCTTCCCAGGTGGAGTACCTTACATTTATCTTTATTAAATTGCATCCTATTTCTCTCTGCCCATTGATCCAACCTGTCCAGGTCGGCCTGAATCTGCTCCCTGCCCTCCGGTGTACTAAATCTGCCCCATAACTTGGTATCATCAGCAAACTTGAAGAGGGTGCTCTCCACGCCCTCGTCCAAATCGCTGATGAAGCTATTGAATAATATCGGTCCGAGGACCGAACCCTATGGGACCCCACTGCCTACCTCCCTCCAGGCTGAGAAGGAACCAACCACCACCACTCTCTGGGTGCGGTCCCCAAGCCAGTTGGCCACCCACCTGACCGTGTAGGCGTCCACTCCATAGTCTGCTAGCTTCCCAACGAGGATAGGGTGCGAAACTGTGTCGAAGGCCTTCCTAAAGTCCAGAAAGATGACATCAGCCTCGGCTCCCGCATCCAGGCAGTGTGAGACCTGGTCATAGAAGGCTACAAGGTTTGTCAGGCAGGATCTACCTGTGACAAACCTGTGCTGGTTTCCCCTCAGCATTGTTTCCCCTGCTGGGCCTGCACAAACGTGTTCTTGGTGTCATGACCCAATGCTTGTGTGTGCGCTTCGGCACTGCAGAATTATTTCCCGCCACATGGAGCTTTCTTTGCATGGTGCAATTCTCAGCTGCAGAGAGAAAAACCCCGGTGCAAAGGAGTTCCCACCGCTGGCATGCAAATTTGTACCCCATTATTGGCTGGTTCTAAAATATTCCTACGTGGCGGGCAGGAAATTGCTTTCCTGACCCCAT